ATTCACCCACCCGCCCAAGGGCCCAAAGAGTCTTTACATGAATGGGTGCGGCCTGCTGCCGGATGGGACCATCCAGTCCGAAGATGAAGAGAGACTTATCGCAAACCTTGCGTGGCGCGCCTTGTCCACACGTAGCAATGCGGGACTCACCACTCTGCATCCCCACCTCAAACTTCTTCCCATAGACAAGCACCTCGCGGCGAACCCATGGCCGCGGATTTGCTGCCCTCGGAAAGCAAAAGCTGCTGCCGGGATGCCGTCCGGAGGCCATCTGCTGTTGTTCCCGGCAGCAGGTCGAATGTCTGCGAGGGAGCCACAGCTCAACCAAAAAATGCAAGCTAAGCTACACCTGGCAACCCTGGCTACAGCAACACCAACAAAAAATGTGACAACGTTGCCCTTCGCCAAATCCAGTCAGCACAGTAGAAACTTTCATGCTGTCCTGGCGGCATCCAAGCCACAAAAGGCTCCTTGTGAACCTCAGCCTCACAAGCCGCGCTTTCCTTTTTGTCTTGGGCTCAGTCTGAGTTGCCTTAACCTTCGTAAGGCGGCTCTTCGCCGCTCTTCAAAGGACGAGGAAAAGTGGGCCGCACGAGGCCCTTTGTGACGCAGTGTCTCGAGGGAGTTTCACGCGAGTGGTTGCCAAAGCATCTGAAATACATGTTGCAAGTGGTCACATCTGATATGACAATTGAAACTCAAGGCCACAATGGATCAGTCTAGACCAGTCATGGAGGCAGTCACAAACTCCTGGGGATTCACGAAGGAGTCGTAGACCAAGTAGGCCACAATGAGGAGCAGCACCGGGATGATAAAGAAGTACGGGGCTGGCCAAGCATTCATTCATGGAGAGGAAGTTGCATTCATCGGACGGGGTGTGGCTGCAATGCTATGTTGCATTGCAGGTTTGGGTCCTCTGCTTGAAAGACAAGTAAACAATAAGCAAGTCACGTGCCATGTTCTGCTCAAAATAGTTTCACACTTCCATTCCGTGGCTTGCTTTCTTCTGGGGTGTACCCACAAGGAAAGTCTGTGGAAAAAAGTCAAGCGCTGGGTCACCACACCTGCAAACTGGTCCACAAAGTTCTTGGAACTTTCCTCTCGTCTCTTCCAGTAGCGCTCCACCTCTTGCCGTGTGATGCCCACCTGACGAAAGCAAACAAGCGGCCAAATGGAAGCCACTCTGCTTTGCAGCACTTCCAAGGTGCCTAGACTTGCGAATCAGGAAATCATTTCAGTCCAGATTAAAGCTATTTCACAAAGTTGATGCATGGGGGGTAGTAGGCTTGGGGGCTGACACTGCTGTGCAGTTTCTTGTTCTGGCTTTCGGCTTGCTGAGTTTGGGTGCGTCTTCTGCACTGATTCCCAAGCTGTTGCGTCATAAACTCTGATCAAGTGGGTGGCCCTTGATTTTGACATGCTTCGGAAGGGAGGAACGTGATTGAACAAGTTGGACCTGGCATCTTTCAGGGCACCCTTGTTGTGAAAGTTCAAACCGCTCACACCCTGGCAGGAAGGACCTGCTCCCCACATAATCAAACTCCTTTGTTGTCTTTCAGTTCTAGAATCTGTTTGCTCTATTCATCAACGAGGGAAGGAAGTGATTTGAGAAGTGGAAGCGGCCAAGGGGCATAATCAAACACTGGCCAGCAAGAGTTCAACCCCATATCTCAGATGGCATTGGTCCCCACCGCAACCAGCCAAACCGAGAATAACCCGAAACAAACCTGACACCCACGCCGAACCAGGAGGTTACTTTGATATCAGTGGTCTGCTGCGCTTGTACGAGATTCAAGCTGCTACGTGGGATGTTACTTGCTGTTTCTTTGAGAAAACTCATGCATGCATTCAACTTCTCGTGCTGAAATGAAAGGATGTTGCTGGGTTCAGGAGGTTTGTACGCTGCCACGGAGCTGGAGCGAGTGCGCCGCGGGTGCACAACAGCTAAGGATGCAAGTCGCTTGTGTAGAAGCTTGCGACAAAAGGGCTGCTTTATGCCTTGATCAACAACAATCGTTGCCACATGTGTGTTTGCTAGCACAGACAAACAAATGCAAGTAGTGACTCCACTGCGGACTTTTATGCGAGGCTGCCATCAAGCGAGATTGGTCACCTGTTCCTTTGGGTTGGCCACCATGCGCTGGCGCTAACAAAAAGCGACTCTTGCCCTCAATATTTAATGTGTGCAACTGCAACAAAAAAATGCATCTGTGCGCAAAGGTTGCGAAATCAACCATATCTCACAGCAGCTTCTGATTCTGCAAACAAGCTGAATGGCCTCCTTGTAAACATCTCGCTTGGCTGGAAGATAGCTTCCTTTGTCTTCATCTTCACTTGCAGACTTCAGCACCTCGGACGCAAACTTGCAACAAAGCTGCAAGGCTCGTCCGATATCTTGTATTCATCCCTACTTGCTGTAGCAAATAGTCTCGGATTCAGTGAGTCCTCCTATGGTCCACATAGGCCGTTGCCTCATCCAGACTTTGCTTCACGATCTGCCTTGACTTCTTCTTTGGAGCCTGGGACAGTGTGAACTAATGAACTGGCATTTGGATCCGGAGCTGCCAATGTCCAAACACCGGCAACCTGCCTTCAGCTCTCTTCTCTTCAAGCCTGCAACCTTGTCCACAGCTTGCTGCGCAGATTCAGACAGCATGGACTCGTCCCCATCTTCTTTCTGGAGCTTCCTTCTGAGCAGCACCTGTGCCGGATGCACGCACGCGTTAGCAAGACTCTCGGGCCGCACCTCGTCAAGCTTGTCGGAAATCTCCTCAGATTCGCCATGTCCGATGCAGCCCCTGAAAATCCCCACGCCGTGCCTGCTCCTCCGCCAGTGTTCGCTCCGCCGCCAAGTGCGTGCTGCGTCGGGCTGGACCTGAGCGACGGAAAGGCGCCAGCATCAAAATCGTCAAACTGCACTCCCCTTCCATCCGCACCTCTGAAGCCGACAAAAGCGAGAGGCAGCGCGACCACCAGCAATCCCCACCTCACACATTACGGGCATCGTGACAGAAGGGAATCACCTCTGCGCAGTCTAAACCGGCACCTTGCTGCACGTCCAGGTTGACGGACCATGGCTTGCAAAGTACGTTGGAACCTTCTGTGTCCGCAAGGGTTCAACACTAAACAGCCACATGTTGTAAGCTCTTTGCCCTGACGCATCCTGAAGACACAACGTGTCGACTTGTGGTTCCTGGGTCTTAGGATTGCGAGCCGAGAAGGCCCGAGCGAGCTACTCGAATGCGAGCTCTTGCTTGAGTAAAGGGATGAAACAATGCTTCCATAGCTGTTGTCTTCGGCTTGCCCTTTGGGGGCTTGCAACATTGGTTTAGAAGTCGGGCAGTTGTGCCGGCCCCATCGCCCAAGATGGGAAAATCGGCCAGCAATTGTTCAGAGTTGCGCAGCTCTTGGGTGAGCTCTTCATTTTGACCTCGCAGATTGGAGCTCGACTTCCGCCCTTGGCGGAATGGAGCAAATCTGATCCATGGAGGCAAATCCCATCGCATGGGGCGTTGCTCAGATTCGGAGCCATGTTTGAAGCACCTCCACGCTAAAGCTGAGCTACAACTTCTAGACCCCCCAGCACCTGCTTCGCAGGCACCCAAGAGCCGAGCACATGGATACGCAGTGATCTTGCCGGGCAGGCACCAGCACAGCCAACTTTTTGCTGCAAACGATTCGTCAGATTTGCCCGGCACGTAGCACGCATCCAACCACACGCCGTGTGTGCGGCAGCTAGACAGATTCCGTGGCTCAAGGCACGCGGCTGCACCATTCGCATCGAGTGCAGGTTGTTGGGCCCACATCATGGCAGCATACGCTTTGAATCATTTATATTCCTAAAGGCTTTGCAGGCATAGCGACCTATTGGCCAAGACAAGACGATAAGTCGAGAAGCAAAAGCCAGCATTCTCTCAGAGTAATGCCTCGCCTTTCGGCGCTGGCCCTAGCGAAAATGAATGCTTGCTGTGCAATCCACCCTGCAATCTGCAGTGTGTGCTGCTCACTTGCACGGGCACGGTAGAGTTCCAGGTCACTTCTTCCGCACCTGAATCCATGACATATTACTGCAGCTTCTTTTAACGGACCACCAGAAAAGGAATAGAAGCTTGAAAGCTTCCGGGTACCTCAGCTGCCAGCAATGTGGGACTGCTGGTTGAGAATCTCCAGGTACTCCGTGACTCGGTCGCGCTTCCTGGCGGAGCCCATGGGCCACTTGCGCATGGATCGAGTCGAGCCCAGCCTGCCTTGTGTAGCGGCCGTCCAGCAGATCGGCCCCTTCAAGCGCTGAAGTACCATAGCAGGCCTTTGTAGTGCTCACTTGGGCGAAGAGGCCTCAAACAGATGGCTGAAAGAGCAGCTGTGGCATTTTGCTAAGGCCACAACCCCTGGGCGTGGACACCTGCAGCGCCAGAAGCCTTGGCTTAGCAAGGAGTCCGTTGGGGGCAGTCGGCACACCTCTTGCCCAGCACTCCGCAGGGACTTAGCTCAAATTATATACCCTTCAGGGCCGGGCTCTGTTGGCGGCTGTGACCTCTAGCACTCTTGTGAAGCACTGAGAAATGGGTGTGGTTCAAAATTAAACAGGAAGGGATACGCAGGTTTTGGTCCATGTTTCCGCTTACCAGGGTTCCATTTTGGTACCGGTGTTTTGAGCCACAGCCAAATGCTTTGAGAACTCGAACCCTGCCTCTTGCCCGCCTCACTCTTGCCCGAGCTGAGACTCAGGCGTCTCAGGTGCCCGGCCGAGCAAGAAGGCCACGCTGTCCCGGTTATAGCTCTGGCAGAAGCCAAATCCAAGCAATACCGCGGCTTTGCCCCATATTTTGTTGTGCTGGAATCGGCTCCGAATTGCGCAACAGGAGACTGACATCAAATCACCTGCCTGCCGTTGCCCGCTCCTGACAAGACATTGATGAATGTCGTCGAAGACACAGCCAAACAAGTGCAGCTTGGTCAACCCTCACATCATGCTAGGGCGCTGGCGCTTGCCGGACGTCAGGCACCTGGCAGAGCGTTGAAAGGCAAGCCGGGGCTGCAGCGTTCAAATTTGTTCGGAAACTAAATTGGCAAAGATCCACCAACTGAATCCCATCATTCAAGCAACCCACATGACACTCAATATTGGGATCTTAGGCCTTTCAAGCACCTGGTACCAGAGCTTGCCTCTGGCACATCAGCTGGCTTAGCGTCTTGCCCGGCTTGCCCTGCGCGCCAGACCATTTGTCAAAAGCCGGTCTCTGTATTTCAAGAATGCGAGGTTTGTTCGAGACAAATGAGATCTTGCACGCCTGGACCTCTTGGCACCTTCCTGTCAACCCGTCAGGGTGTTGCTTCTTAATCGTAACACACTTCAAACACCCTAACCCCTCAGTTGCAGTGCGCTGCTGGGCCATGTCACTGCAGTTCAGCATCCATGACAGGGTGAGGGGTTGTGAGGGGTCATGTGGGGTCGTGAGAGGACTGGAAACTTGTATCTACTAACTACGAGGTTTGAGAAGAGGCTATAGTACACGAGAGTTTGGCAAACAGCATCAGCTAGAGTAAGACTGTCCATCAACGTTTAGCATCAATCAGTGTCACAATGAGACGACTGCCCCGGCAAGTCTCTGGCCTGTGCCAGTGAAGCTGCGCTGCTCATCTACAGCAGCCAGACCTTGGGACGCACAATATGTGATCCAAAGGTAGTCAAAGTCTGGAATGATCTCCTCCCTCAGGGCAAGGCCGAAAGCACGTCCTAGCACTTCCCCTGAAAGAGCATGCCCTGGCAAAGGTTGTACGCATGTCGCAGGGCTTGAATTGGCACCTACAAAACTTGAAACAGTTTTGTTTAGCACTCCAGTGCGAATAAAACTCAAGCCTTGACCTACGCAGCAACTTGACAAAGGGCGCAAGGTGCATTGTCAACAACCAGCTCCTCGAATTCTCAACTCAAGCCTCTTGGAGTGAGGCGCGGCGTGGCTGTCCTTTGCTGAAGCGTGCAAAACATCAAGCATCAAGGAACTGATAATTGGCCAGAAATCGGAAAAAGGCATACAACATGATGCATGAGCGCTGTGGTCTTAGCATCTCGGTCGTGATTGACAATTCGAGAATGGAGATGACTCATTATCACCAATATGCAGCCAAGGCTCATAAGCGCATCCGGCTGCCCGACTTTAAGCTAAGCCAAAAATGGGAATGCTGCACCAACACCAGCCATCCCTTCAGCAAATTCTACTTCTTCCCTTCCCCACTCAAACACTTGGCATCTCGTCCTTCTGTGCATCTTTGAGTGGTAGCTGTGTGAATCTGAACACACCAGCATCAGTTGCCACCCAGGTTCAGCATGGAGCAACGAGAATGATGCTCAAGCGAGAAAAGGGGCATTCATTGCTCATCTCCATACCCACCCCAAACAAATCTTGCAGATTGCACTTGACTTCGCACACTGGAGGTCTGACTCATGACCATATCCGAGGTGGGAAGGCACCTTCTGCTGCTTCTTGCGGTGAACGCCCGCAGGGTGCACCTGGCAAGTGTTGAAAGTGCAAAGGAACCCCGCAGGACAGCTGAGCTGAATAACGGCACAACCTGAATGTTGTGCTTTGGTCTTGCCACGATGCCAAACGGTCTGTTCATGCCGAGCACAACCTAGAGCAGCACGAGATGGCGCAACCCAGCCTTCTGTTCTGCTCGTTCAGTTACCCTGTGAGCAAGGGCAACATGAGCAGGAATCGTGCACACGAGTCACATGCCAAGGAGATGGCAGGCCATAAACTCACACCGCAGACCATACGTTTGGTGGAACCAATTCAGCACAGTTCATATTTGGAGAATCTCACAAGTTCTGAGAAAGGCACCATATGTAGAATGTGAGCATGTCCTGTCCACGACTTGACAGCGAAACCTGCACAGGGGTGCAAACATCCTGCATTCAACCAAGACAGGTTCAGCAGCAGGTTGAGCCGTTCTCAACTTTCCGCAAGGATGCTAAGGTCTCGAAACCTCCTATGTCGCACATCGCTTCTTTGCAAGCACACAGGTGCCTCAGCAATGCCTCAGGCGCCTGAGCTCGGCACTAGAGCTGCTTTGCGCCCTCAATCCCTGGTCCTGGAGGTGTCATGGTGTCTCATTTCTCTCCCTCTCATACGCACAACAGCCGCAGTCCTGCAAAAGTGCATTTAAGGGCGGGCTGCCACAAATCGCGATTTCAAACCTCAAGTCTACAGGCCACACTCATTCAGCCACCTTCAGCTTGTTCGATGATGAAAGTTGCCGGGCCATCAACGCTGAGCGCCCAGCCCACCTAAGCCATCGAATGGGCACGGCTGAGCCAAACGGGCGTGTTGAGCAAGACCCATCAAACGATCACGCGGCACATGCATGTATATGAAGCACCTATTTATTTGCAAACGCACGCGTGCGCAAGCACAAATGCAACAAACCATGATGCGCAGTGCAAAAACACTACAAGAGTTTGGCAGTGCAAGTTAAACAGCAGAAACACGGAGCAATCGTTACCCGGAAGACTTCTCTGTGTGTGTGTGTGTGCTCGTCGCCGTGCAAGGTCTTCTTTGGTTTGCTTGTTGGCTTCTAGGCCCGGTGCTGATCTAGTGTTTTTGGGTTGTTAAGCTCTTGTCTTCTGCCAGAATGAAATAGCTCAATCAACACGAAGAAACAAAAAGTCCGAGAAGCGGATCGGGACATGAAAAGGCTGAGACGTTGGAAGGCCTCAGGTTCGGAGGCAACGCCAGAATACTTTTTCAAGTGAAACGCCCAGACTAGGCTGTGGAACGATTTTTTGTTTGCTCCACGCAGCCTGTGTCGTGACGATCGGCTAGATACAACGCCAACAAAAGGAAGAGACAAAGAACCGCTACCCCAAGTGGTATCTAACCCAAGGTTGCCCTGCAGAAACAAACAAAGCTAAGGTGTGAGCGGGCAAGCGTCAAAGTTGACTCAAATATTGATGTGTTGAACATGGGGCACAAGGGACAAAAACTAAAGAAGAAGACGGGTCATGGCAAAAAGCATCATATTGTCCACCAAAGTGTTTTCGTCGTATGACTCTTCGCTCAAGCCCCAACATGTCAAATGGACGCACAGCCATGGGTACGGTACGTGCATTGGATATCCCAGCTTGGGGTCCCCCAACCCAACGCACTATTGAAAATTAAAAAAAAATGAATATGGCGATGTAGGGTAGCTGCCATACAAACAGGGGTTTGCAAAAAGACTGCAAACCTTCTTCTAGCATTTTTGTTTGCAGCAAGCAACTGCAACCGAGCTCAACTTGGGTTTGCGGAGGCCAAGCAGCAAAGAAAAACGCAGGCTGAGAAGCATCTTAAAGCCCTATGGAACGCGTACTGTTCAAGACGCACTGCGTGCTCAAGGTACCGAACTCCAAACAAAAAAACGTGTTAGGTCTGCAAGGACCAAACACTGAAACTCTTAGTGCGTGACGGGCAAGATCACATCACTTGAATCACATTGTATAGAGCAGGTTGAACAACCTAGAAGGGTCAGCATTCAACCTGCGATAAGCGCGTTTTTCTTAGCCAGGTGTAGCAGGTATGACGAAGCTCATGCAATTGGGGTTATAAGGTTGAGAAATACATTACATTGCAAATACACCCCCCGTGACCGACGGTGAAAAAGGAGAAATGTTAGGAATGAATACAACCAAGTAAACACCGCTTTTGCAAGACAGCTTTTTTTTTCTTAGATTGGTTTTCAGCAAGATGGAATAAACATGATGGGTTGGAATTTGACATGCATTGGCGTCCGTCCAAGAATTAACACTGCATCCGCTCAGCGCCAGTTCCTGCCACAAGGAGTCCACTGATCCCAGCTTCCCCAGCAAAATTAGCTCCGACAACAGCAAGCAGGGGGCGCAGCGCAACCTGGAATTTGTCGCTGTACCAGATCGAGACTCAGATTCTCACCTCTCACACAAAACTACACTTGGACTATCAAGAGGAGGGCTCGGAATTATGCATGTGCGCGGCTGCTCGGGAACCTGAGCTCCAAATTCATTGTGAAGGTGGCCCGTTGCATCATTCCCAGCGGACAAGAAACATGGTTTCCGTGCCTAAAATATGCTGCACGGCTAACTGGTGCTATGAACGTCACGAAAGTGCAATGTTGCAACTAGGGTGCAACGGTGTATGACCCTATCGGCAAACCTTTAAATGAGCCAAATAAAGGCGTTAGCCAGAAACCCCAAACCTACTCACCAAATATGAAGTGCCATGAAATGCGCATGAGCACCAAAGCGAAAACAAATCAAATCGAGCGCTCCACTCCTTTTTGTCTCTTTCGCTTTCAGAGTATTGGCTGGAGTCATGCGGGGAATTCTGAAATCGTGAAACCGTCATATTCACAGCCAGCATGCCTGAAAAATAGGCCAAAGTTCAGAGTTCTTTCCCCCCCACGAAACAGGGTGGGTTGGGTGGGTGCTCAAAATGAGCCAAATCTCATCAAGAGAATATTTCACAACCCTCCCCAAGGGAGAAAACATGCGAAGCTATTCGCAAGGATCGGTTTACATGAATGCAAAACCGTTGCAAACCAAGTTTCAAGCAAGTTTCAAGCATTGACAAATTCAAAACAGTGGCCAAGAGTTTCACATGAAACCGACACATGCAATTGAAAGTAAACATACCTTTCCTTGCATGGGCGAGGCGCCTCAGTGCCAGGAACGAACCTAACAGGGCGAAGCACCTCACTGCCAAAGTTACGCACCTCTAACTTTGGGAAACCCAGGTTGAAGCCTAACGGGTCCCACTTCGATGGGCGAGCCCACTACGCCTGACCCTATCGGCAAACCTTTAAATGAGCCAAATAAAGGCGTTAGCCAGAAACCCCAAACCTACTCACCAAATATGAAGTGCCATGAAATGCGCATGAGCAAATCAAATCAAACGCTCCACTCCTTTTTTCTCTTTCGCTTTCAGAGTTCTGAAATCGTGAAACCGTCATATTCACACCCAAATCCATTCAGGCCAGCATGCCTGAAAAATAGGGCAAAGTTCAGAGTTCTTTCCCCCCAGCGCGCAGCGCCGACTTGACTCCAGCTTCTTACTCTTTGGGCCAAGGGACACGGACTCTCAAAGTCTCATGCTTGCCCTTTCATCCGCCAATCGCTAACTTTCAAGTCTCTTCTTCTTGGATGTCCGCGTGAAGACTTCCCCTAAAACGAGCATTTGGTGAAAGATTCCCCTTTGTAAAGCAATGTCGATCCTGCAACGTTTCGCTGGCCGGCGTCATGGAGCAGTACGCCCGGAGGTCCAAGCTGCCCTCCCTTGTCTTTGAGGCAACGGGCAGGCCAAGCCCCTTCCCCCTGCCGATCTTGTGCCCGTGGACGGCGTGCTGCCGGACCTGGGCTGCTGCAACGCGAGCAGTCCTGCCTCAATTTGTTGCCGTACGTGGGGTTTCGCTGGCCGCACGCTGGTGGCGTCTTCCGCGGGTCTCCACGCGGAGCCAGTCGGCCGGCGACGGGCAGGTGGACAAGACCTGGCCCTGATGGAGGGGCAGTACGAGAGGGTCAGCCAGCAGTCACGCGAGCTGCTCTACAGCGTTCCTGCTGCGCTGTGCAACGAGATTCCCGTAGCCTTTGGCTCAAGCCATTTTGGCTCAAGGCCGTATCGGCTCAAGTTGCTCGACGAGCCCAAGAAGCTAGTAGGTGTCGAGTGGTAGGCCCACTGTCACCGAAAGTGGAGGCTCCTAGAGTGACTAGGTACGGTTCTTAATAGGGTTTTTGCTTGTTTGGGGTAGGCCCGTAGGTTGTTGCTTTGGTTGTGTCCGTAGGAACATAGCTTGCCCTCACTTGCACTGCCCTGTGCCCGCACAACTTGTATAGGGACACTTTTGTGCTGCCTAAAAGCTTTCAGCATTCCCTGTGACTACTTGAAAGTGCTCATTTCCAACTCAAAATAGATAACACCGGCCAAATTCAACTTTTAGAACAGTGTCGGGCACTGCCCACCTGGTCTAAGTTGAATTATCCTCCTTTGCGTGTCCACTCACTGCTAGTGTGAGGCACTGCCTCGCCTAGTTTGTGTGACCAATTCACTGCTAGTGTGAGGCATTGCCTCGCCTAGTCTGTGTGACCAACTCACTGCTAGTGTGAGGCACTGCCTCGCCTAGTCTGTTGACCTGCCTTGCCGTGACCTTAGTGTGCACTAACCCAAATTCCCTCAGGGGCTGAGCAGCTACTGTGCTCTCAAAATTTAGGGCCAAGTGACCAATGAGGGAAGCTGAAGCGAAGAAATCAGGCAGAGTGAATGCCTCATCAAATTTAGTTTCGCCTGTCATCAAAGATATGCCCTTAAAGGGTACTAAGAATGAACAAACTAAGGGTGAACCAAATTTGATACTGGGTAAGTCTACAGACCAGGCTAAGAGAACAAGGGACTCCAAAGGAAAATCCTTACAGAACAGCGACCATAAGTCCAAAGCCAAGAAAGGAGCGGCGGGTAAGCCTGTGGCACCTCAGGAGCCTATCCGGTCTTTCTTCACTCCACAGGAAAACAATACAAATCAGGGAAGGCGGAGCGGTGGTGCTACTAGTGCCCCGCCCGCTCCCTCGGGAGTCACCATCCCTGTGCCAGATAGTGATGACGATATCGATGATAAGACTCCTGTTGACACGGCTCACCCCAAGATGTCTTACTACGGACATGCCTTTAAGACCACTCCATGCCAGAGTCAGAGCGTTGCTATCACTCATATGGATACTCCTAGCAAGGCTGCCGCCAAAGATCTTCTTGAGCCCCTTAACCCTGCTTTGGATAACGACTCAGATACTCCTATGAATACACAATGTGGGCCTTGTCACATCGGTCCAGGGATCTCTAATGTAAAGGCTGTACAAAGACC